GTATTCAACCTTTTTCAAATATTCCACTAACCATCTCCACTTTGATTAACATCGAATTGCACTGTTCATGAAATAGGTGTTGCTAATATTCTTCAACCCATAAAGTCCAATAGTTTTGACCGGAAACAATTCCAGAATTTTGCTGAGATAAATTAATTTTTTCATTTACTTTTGTTCCAATTCCATAAAGTGATTTGTTTTCACCTTCATTTTCTTTATAAAGTTGTTTTCAGGAAACATGTGAATTTCATCATTATTATAATTGTCGTTTGCTATATTCCCGTCACGATTCATTTTGAGTCAAATCTGTCGAGAATTCGTCTGTCTGGCCATCTGTCTGTCGTGGTATATTTTATAGTGTATCTTCAATAAACAAAAAAAAGTATCAAATCAAAGTATAGCTAAGCCACTTGTAAAATTTTTCAATATTCAAAACCCCATTGCATTGACTTCTTTAATGAACATGTGAAAACTGTTGATATATTTTTTTCTGGTAACAATTGATATGAACGTGGTTCGAAATATCTTGTATTTATATGGTTTTGTCACATCGTGTTACATTTAAAAAAAATCTATCACTGTAGGAGTTACAATTTGATGTTTATTTTTTTACATTGTTCGAAAAAATAAAGTAACGAATATAGAATACATTCGCTTTTTTGAATACGCCATCACTTGGTAATTTGTTTTGCTATTTGATATACACCTCAGTATCCATTTGTGTGAGGCATTAAGATTCCGGAGATAGCAATTATTTTCTCCTCTCCAACCTATTATTTCATAGGATACCTGGGATTGAACGTGTGCATGGTACAACGTTTAAAAATTATAAATATCAAGTTGAATTCCCACATTGAAGTGTGTTTTTTGAATATGATGAATATCAAGGAAGTGTATGATGATTGAATTCGAAAAGTGAGCCCCACTACTTTCTGATTATCTCTTTCATTTGTAGATCCTATTGAAAATGCCTTTCTGAGTAAATACCTAGATTCCTTATTGACTTTGATGACTATACTCAAATGTCATATATTGGGTAATGTATGAGCAAATAATGTGACGGGCTAATACTCGTATTAATTTTCTCCTCTCCAACCTATTATTTCATAGGATACCTGGGATTGAACGTGTGCATGGTACAACGTTTAAAAATTATAAATATCAAGTTGAATTCTCACACTGAAGTGTGTTTTTTGAATATGATGAATATCAAGGAAGTGTATGATGATTCCTTATTGACTTTGATGACTATACTCAAATGTCATATATTGGGTAATGTATGAGCAAATAATGTGGCGGGCTAATACTCGTATTTGGTTTTTTAGAAATTGGTCAAGTTTATTGTGACAAAACCACTTTTCAATATCCACAAAATATTATTTGCATATGTTTTTAGTCAATTTTATGAAAAGTCTCCATCCAGGATTGCCGTATCGTCAGTAAAGCTCAAAATTTCACATTTTGTCAATATTTTCAGTATCTCAATCAAATATATTGTGAAAACCATTGGTCCCAAAACCGTACCTTGTGTTATACCATAAATGATCGGTATGAGATTACTAATGACTCCATTGATACTACCTCAATGTTTCCAATCATATGAGTAGCCTTAAAAATATTGAACGGAAGTAATTTTTTGTGGAGGAAACTCACTTAAGATAATGTTGTTTATTCCACAGTTCTCTAAGTTTTTTAGCAGTTTCTTATGGCGAACGGTATCAAATGATTTGGATAGGCTTCGATATATGGCGAAACTCACACCAATTGATTCAGTAACGGAGTATCTTACTTTCATCGAATATGACTGATTTTGATCAAACATGGTTACGTCCTCTGAGAAAAAAGTTGCAAGAGAACTCAATAACAAATATAATTCTCCACATCCAGGGTATTTAAAAAAAAATCAGTAATTTGCTCACCATATTTAGGCAGTTTTATTGAAGGTTTGGAAATCAATGACATCATTTACTTTGGAGTAAGAATTTTTTTACTCCTCCGTTTCAATTTGATCATTTGACGCTACCATTGTGATTCAAATGAAAAAATTACCATACTCTTCACCCCAATATTTTGAAAGCAGGGATTTTTCTTTCCAAATTGATGGGTTTGCGTCAAAAAAAATGTTTGGAAAAGGTAGCATTGGAAACTAGCATAATTGTAGTATCTCTTTCAATCGATCTATCACCCACATTCTACAAACATTCTGTATGTATGTACTGATTTGTAGCTGAAAGCATCCAAAAATATCAACAAGTGGCACTTTCCAGCCGTATTGACGAAAAACATGGACACCTTGACCTTGGAAAAAGAAAAACTCGTATACAAAAACTTCATCTCTCGCAGAACGATGTCGGGAATCATAAAGTTTTGAATGACACGAATACCATTCGCATGAATGGCTTGATTATGTGAGGTAATTTTGATGCGTAAGAGCAGTCAGTCGAGCGGCAGGATCCCTGTAGACAGAGAGATAAGAGATAAGGTCGCCACCGTGTTCATATAGCCGTAACAGAGCCGTAATCTTGCTTCATAAACCGGTTGACCGTAAAAATGACAAAGGCCGGCAGAAAGATAATGTTTGTCTTGAGTTTTTGTTTGTTTGCGTTGGGGCATTGATGAAACGATTTTTCATTGTTTTCGTTCGCTTTATGGCCGCCAAATGAAATTGTTACAGCGGAATGGGAATATAAACAAGACAATAAATCAATTTTTCAGTGTATCATGGAAAATTTAAGTAACTATTGAGGATCGTTCTTTCAAATAGACGTGGAAGAAATGAGCGTTGATCATTGAGTTATCATTTTTTTCCCAAGAAACTTGTTTATGGGAAGAAAATTAGTAAATCAGTGATAACAATAACAGTAACAATAAAAGTACAGATGAATCAGGAGTTTCAGATAGAAAATTTAAATCATGAATATAAGTAATTCAAAATTTTCACCAGTGGATGTTTTGGTTATTGATATAAGATGGTTTAGCATTTCAGTATGAACAATTGAATGTTCACCTCAATTTGTATCCATTTTGATAATTGCTGAATCATTTGAGAATCTGATGTCTTCAAATTCTGATGAATAAATTGGAATATAGGAATGTAGGCCTTCACGGCTGGCGTCAATGTTTTGGTTGGTTTCCGGGTTTTTCCGTGATTTTTTTTACTGAATGAATGAAAGTACGAACTTTCAATGTAGTTGATAATGAGATATCCAGCTTCCCAAAATAGAAGTGGATATTGAAAAAAATACAATACAAAATAATGAGTTCCAGTCTAGATACCGTTGTAAATTAAGCCCTGAAGAAAATAACGCCGGCCGCCACTGGTAGCCATAAACCAATTGTGACGTAGATAAGAGCGCGCGAATGTACGATGTTCACTGCCGCTCTAGATGTAGCGAGAATAATGCTACCGACTCCCATGGAATTTCGGCGAAATTTTCTAGCACATTCAATTACGATATATAAACGCTTGCCACGAGCATATCGACACAGTCAAGTGTAAGTTGCAGTGCGGAACGGGAAGCGATCTAGTGAGGTGATAGACATTCGAATAATAGTTGAAGTGTTTATTATATTTATAGTGAAATGAAGTTAAGTTTGATTACTCAGTGTAGTCAATTATTGGTCAACCCACGGAAAAAAACGTAACAATACAGATGAGTGAGTTTGTATTTGCTCCTTACACCATTTGAATTCAATTATTATCTCAGGAGTTTTCGCGAAATAAAAAGTAACGTAACACACATTTGAACGGACTGATGCTGAACATGCTCAATGGAAGAAGATTGCAATCGCGTTGGGTTCACTTGAAAAATAAAGGTGGAATTTTTCTTTGTGTGTCCTCCAGGTTGATAGATACCTATCGATTTTGGAATCAAAGTTGATACTTTTCTTAGAATGAGTATTTCTAAAGTCATCACTATCAGTTACAAGCTGAAACAACAAACACCATAACACAAAAACAAGTGAAGGTCTCTAGTTCATCTCATTTTGAATTCTCATCAATCAATATTTCTGAACTTTTTTCAACAGAAACATATGAATAATGATGAAAATATTGAATTTCCTATGGTATTTCCACTGAATCATATCGAATTGTTTTGAAATGATTCTAAACTGATATTTCTCAAAATTCAAACAATGAAAATTCAATAAATGAATTTCGAATGATGATTTGCGCAAAAAATGCAGAATTCAGGAGGCTGTCATTTTTGGTTTAGTGCCTCTCTGACCCAATGATCACTTACCCCACTGTGTGAAGTGATCATTGATTGATAATGCTGACGCTCCCTACCTTCGGGGTAGAATCCTTGGGAAAGAAATAATGATAGTATTTTTTTATTTTTTGAGTAAGAAGAGATACGAGGTTTCAGCTAGGACTAATGCACAAATATGCACATCATTCTTCTGTTTTTCAACCTTTGGAAGATCAATTATACATAATATGGATATATTTTCACACAAGACAATTATGCGGTTGGAGTCATTCGGAATGTGACGAATTTAGGTATTTTGAAATAAAATAGATATCATTATTGGAAGCTACTGATATAATTTTGAACACATTTCGAGAAACTTCGGTCACTATAAATTGTCTATAAATCATTAAGTGTGCAACCATATATATATATCGATATCATTATGGCTGATAAGGACAGCCTATGTGAAGCGCCCCCTTCATACCCAGGAGGGAACCCCAGTTGTAATTCAAGAAAACCCTTTCTTGCTGCACATCTACAACATAAAACAAACCCACATGCAAATCGCAACCTCCCAAAATATAGCGGTGCGGAGAAACAATGATGGAAATGTAAGGTAATTTTCATAATTGAACGCGCCCCTTGCATCCCCACGGTGGCGCCGGAAATCAAATATTCGATGAATCTCTCTTAGTGCGCATCTTAGACCTAAGAAGTGCCTATATACCATAATTTCAGTTTCCTAGGACTCACCAGTGTTGTAATCATTATCATCAAGGCTCTCAGTACAGGTAAAGCCTTGACAGATATTTCATGTAATTTTCCAACTCTTCAACAGAACTATTTATATTTATTGATAATCTTCTCGTCATCTGATAATTCATCAAAAGGAATACACAGTTGCTGTTCTTCTTCCACCACTTTTGTTGTTTCTTTACCTTGAAATTTATCGATTATATTGTACGGAAATCTAACAATTCCAGCGAAGATGCACTCGATAGCACAGTTCCAGGTATTTTGGAAATTGTAGGCACTCCTCTCATGGTCAAAAGGTGGATCGTCACATTGTCCATACGGTTTGAAACTTGGAATCTGTAAAAGGATGAGTCATTGAATATTTCAAATAATCTATTTATCACGGTCCAATCAGAAAACTGATTGTCCAGCAACACTTTTTTTCAGCAGAACTGAAATACTCTTCTCGATATGCTTTCATCAAATATTAATCATCAGCACAAAATTATTTTCAGTATGAAGTATCAAGTTGGCATAAGCTATAATGAATAGTTTTTTGTTTGTATTGGTGATCATACAAAAACGTGAAATAACAAATCAGTCTGAAATTGACGATTATGATGATTCTGATTTTTTGGATATGGTAGTAGTGTTTATAGGGGTAAATATTCTTTCCACATATTCGAGAACCCAGTTCTTCGTTGAGGAGATCTGGATGTGGTTAGATTGTGTTTCATTAGTAGATGGAAATCAATGAATGTGACATGTTCAGAATGAAGTAATTTAATGAGTTTATCTTCTAGTTAAGACATCATAGTTTCATGACAAAAAGATCATCTTCCACAAACTGAAATAGTTTCAACTATTAGGATTTTTTTCAATTATTCACCTCTTCAAACTTTCATATAGAATATAATCTGCAAAATGCCTACCAAAACAACTTCTTTTCCGGTTGATACACAGATGACAGTGTGAACATTAGAATCGAGATTCACTTCAATAAAAAAATCTCTGAACAATTACAAATTCATAAACGCGTATTGTACAAAAAAAAGTGTTTTCTCATTTTGTTTCCTAGTATCTCAATTTTAAAATGAGTTACTCGGATTTTTTGGTAATCACAATTCTCCTTGGAATGTTTTCATTGCTTTTTCCCCTATTGATTACTTTGTCGATTCTCTGTGAATAATTTTTAGATTATTTCAAGAAATTCAACTTGATTGAAGATGCTTCTGATGTTTTACATAGAGATCAAGATGATGTTTGGCTTCGATTTGAAGAAAACAAATTCTATTGGCAAACTTGACGATTTTTCAACACAAAAAAACTTTGTCATCAACAGCTGAGTGAACGACTCAACTATATATCGTCAACTAGCACACTTAGTAACTGATGGCTATGAGAATTTCCATCAAGAATGTTCTGAACAGTAATTTTTGAGATATATCAAGTTAGCATTTCCTTACAAAAAAATCAATATCCCTCTGATTTCAAAGTTATAATATTCCACGGTATGTTATCCAATATACCGTACAACGAATGTGAACCCGTCATTTTAGATATATTAGATCAAGCCAAAGTAGACCATATCACTTCTCCTGAAGTTTCAACAGCTCTCGATGTGTGCCTAAATCAGAGATACCTACAGTTCAACAACAAATTTTATAAACAGGATTCATGTTCACCAATGGGCTCACCGCTCAGTCCACTTTTAGTAGACATATTTATGAACAGCTTGGAGACCACTATAGTAACTTCTGTCCTGGATAAAAAACATATTAATTTTTGCTACAGATATTCAGACGATATATTCGCTGTTTCAGAGGTACTACAGGACGACAGCTGAACCCATTTATAACATTCATGGATAATCTCAATAGCAACATTCAGTTCACACTCGAAACAGAGATGGAAAAATAGATAAATTTCTTAGACCTGACCATTACACATAATCAGAATATATTTGAGTTCAATGTTTTCAGAAAACCTAGTTATACAGACATCACCATCCCAAGCGATGTAGGCTAAGACGCAGTCTCTTATTGAGGATAAATCAGGGCACTCAAACAGGACATGCCTGACAGTTTTATCTTCCTGTTTACACATCCTGCATAGAGGCGTGTCCACTAGCCCCATATTATGGGGCTAGTAGACACTGTCAACTAAGGAAACCTTAGTTGACAATGGTCAGAAATGATTCGAAGTTTTTAAACCATTCCTTGGCATGCAGCCACAAGTTCCCGAGTCTAAACGATTCGGAAATTCTGCACTATGCAAGAGTAGGAGATTTGAGCCGGTTCTAAGCCTCCCCCCACCACTATGACGCATTAATTGCTTTTTTATTGGTTGTTGTTTGGTGAAGTCAAGGTGATGTGACCTTGAAGGGTGTGGTGTATGGATCGTTCAGAAATTTTTTCCCGGTTCTAATCAAAAGTAGTGTCGTCCAGTTCAAAACGTTTATTACTAATTACATAAATTCTATAAATCTACAAGACCTGCGACAGTGAATTTTTCTAGAATGCCGATTTCTGACTCTGAACACTTCATTTATTGATTGTGGTGTTGCCATTGATATTACTTTTGTTGATTTCCTCAATAAAATGAGCGACAGCAAATTTTATGTTTTTACCTGAATGAAAAAAATGGAAGGGGGTGTAGTTGCTAACAACAGGGTTTCGAGTATGATCACCATATCAGAATCAGTTCCCCAACAAACAAAAATTTACGTCTTCTTTGAAATTTTCGATTACACGTTCGTTTCTGAGTTACAAGAGTTCGAACGCCCTGTATAGTGTCATGATATAGTTCAATCGACTCAGATCTCTCTGCAACAGAGAACACCATTGTTCAATTCAGTTCAGAAGTAAAATACTAGACACTTCTGAAAAATCACTTGTATCAATTAACTAGACACAAATACTACGCATTCTCTCTGATAGTTGTATTGCATAATTTTTTTTCGATAGAGGAAACATGAGCAAAAACTTTCGCAGTATCGTAGGAAACAAGTCTATTTTGAACTTCAATATCTCAGTGAATGCTCAATCAATTTATTCGATTTGAGCGCTATTTGAACCAGTGCACTTTTATCAACCTAACACGAGTCGAATAATTTCGTCGATATATAAATTGGGTGCTTATGGTTGGAAGAAGTCGGCGAAGGTCATTTTTGCCTAGTCCCAATTGGCGGAAGTTCTACTGATGGGAAACTTATCGAAGTGCTTGGAGAGATGGTAGTGACGCTCGAATCGTACGGACGAGAGTTAACGTGTATCAGAATCGGATCTTTTCTACTGAGCAGTGCCAGCTGTGGATGCAAATTTCTGTACATTTCGTCGACTCCCTCACGAAAGGACTCTGGTATTATAGTTGGGCTCGGTTGCAGAAAGTTATGCCCGCTAACCATCATACAGTGATCATGCTCTTTTTTTGTTGTGTTTTTGCCTTCAGGAAGTGGCTCATCGGTGTCCAACCACTGTCCTAAATGTCCACTTTTCATCACACGTTACTATCCGTTCCCAAAAAGGATCGTTTTGGTTGCGCAAAAGCAAAGAAGAGCAGACCTCAAACGTGACAATCGTTCAAATCGTGGAACACCCACTTTTCGAGCTTTTCAACCTTTTCAATATGTTTCAATATGTTTCACCCAGGTCTTCCGAACTGTTACGCACTATTTGTGATGGGTCAGTCTCCATCATGGTCCTCAAATCCTCGTCCTGGATTACTGTAGGTTAATCACCTCTGGGCTCGAGGCTGAAATTTCCAGAATGAAATTTCACAAAACAACGTCGAATAGTTGATTGATTTTTTGGACTATTTTGGCAGCACTTCAAGCAATTCCAGTCTGAATTCATAGAGGAACATTTGTTGAGAATCGCTTGAAGACATCAAATAGTGATAAGCTGAAGAGAGGCGGAAAAAATGAACAGCATCAAAACATAGATCACAAAATTCTCCAACGATCAGTATATACCACGACACAGTAGAATACATATTTATTGCGATATGGAGCTTCAAAAACACATGACATTCGAATAAACAAAACTTCTGAAACAACCTATTAACTGGCCCCTAAACAAAGTGACACTTCACCAATGATTCTAAAGTACATTTCTAAGAGGTGGTTCACCCTTAACCTCGAGAGTTAAAGTAACGGTATCATCGATAAGAGAACAAAGTTTTTTTTTAACCTGAAATCGTCCTGTCTGAGAGCTTTTCCACATCTACGATGTTATCACACAATACCAGAGTGTCCAGTTTTCGTTGATTCAAATTGACTTTGACGGATGTTCTTGTTCTAAACCACTGGGTTTTTCATGAAATGAGTTCGATATAGTATTCACCAAACTCACCCTCAGAAGATCTCGCTCAGCTTCACATGACGGCGGATCCCATTTTCCCATTTTTTTCTTAGCTGGTTCCTTGGTCATGGTGCAGTAGGTTCTGTACAAATTTTGGGTATCTTCCATGGAACCCCATATTCCCAAGTCGTATGTGACGTATATGGCTGCTGCAGCGAGTGCGGCTTTCAAACCGAAACCAAAAATGCCAAATACCCCTCTGGATGGTCTTCTCACCTTTGGAGCGCATTCGCAGTGTTTCGGAGGACACATCCTCTTCAGTTCTGCTCCCGTGCATACTCTGATGACTTTCGGTTTCAGCCTACATATTGCTAAGAGAGTTATGGTTATTTTAATATGAATATCATTATCAAATATTTTTGAAAAATTTGACAGTCCATATTTATTAGTTCATAAATGCTGAGAATATCTGCAGAAACATTGCTGAACCCCAATTTTCCTTTTTATAACGTCATTATTGATAATATTTTCCTGATGGAGTTCATAGTTTTCAGGAAACCATTTTTTGAAATTCATTTACAGGAAGTTTTCCGACTTGAGAGGGTGATTTGGTAGGACGTTTCAGGAAAAAATAAGTCAGGAATTGTTTTTTTTTGCTGATATACGGATCATTGACTTTTTGAAAAGAAAGGAATTCAGAAAATATTATGAAATCTTCAAACGGAATCAGTTGGAATTTGATATAGTTCTTTGAAATTATATGAAATACATTCAGTCCTTACTGAAATGAAATCAGGTTCAGAGGCTTCTCTGTAACGACTCCAGCCATCGATATTGAGAAAAAATTTCAGATCAAGCAGCTGAAAATACAACTATCAATATCATTAACGATTAAGAAAGCTATTGTATAGTGGAACATATGTCGCGGTTTTTGTATAACCCTTTATATATTGAAAATCATGCGATAAACTGTATTATTGAATTACAAGTCTTCAATCTATTATGTCTGATGCAAACATAATACATCGTTAGGAATCACCTTGTATAGTAAATATTCACTGTGCGGTCTCTAATTTAACATCGATTAAAATTTCCATTATTTTATCCAACCCCTTTGACATTTCTTCAACATATTTGCAATAGAATTTTCCTGCGTGTTGCTCTAGTAATTGAAAAAATAAACAATTTCGGACATATTCTCACTGACCCTTCCGCCATGGTTTTCCGAGCTTTTCATGTCGCTCCAGTAACTGATGTTCCAACAAAAACCAAACATCATGCCCATCGCTTTCGTCCATTAGATGGTCAAGCAGATACAAGTGTCGATAAATATTGACAACTTTTGTCCACACATAATTGTTTGTGGCCGTGGTGGCAGTCGCCGAAAGCGCTTGTTCTGCGGGTTGGACTGTACAATGAAAACAAACCGTGAAAAATAAAAAATGAAGTGTATTTAAAAAGTTGAAAAACAATACAGAACCTTGTTCAGAAAAGTACAGGGTTATCTGTCGACTATTACAGCTTGATTGGTATCAAAACTGTTTTGTTGTTTACATTAATATATGGTATGATCGAAGAAACGCCTAATTCATTATAACTAAACCAAATACGAGGTTGGTCATCGAAAATCATGCAGATATCCATTAAGGATTCGAGGATGAAGATTTTCAGTATTTATACTGTATAAGTCAATGACACATAACATCACAGGTTATTCTACACAGTACACGATAGTCTGATGAATACCTTATTCATAGACTTCCTTGCCTCATGTGGAAAATGGCTCCAAAACTTCCACTATTTCTTACTGGAAGTTACCTGAGCAGATGGTTTTATGCTTAGGTAGGTACCTTTCTTTGTTGGGAATCAGGACCAGCTTTTGTCTAACTTACCGAAACATTATGTGCCAATTCAAGAGCTGGTTCATCATTGACAACAATGAATCTTCAATCAGTGTCTTAACCTTGAGCTTTACCGATTCCTCAATGACTTCATCTGGTCCGGAGCGTTTTCATTAGTGAGTCAACTGCAGCATATAGCTCTATCATATAGCTTTCCCTCGGTTCCATCTATCTACAGTCTTCGGAAAAAGTTATGTTACGTTTCCTCCATTTATGGTTTTCATATAGTTTTCTTTCCTTCCTGAAGTGTTTTTTTTCATATTCTCCATGACGATTTCTTACTCCTATCTATATACACCTCCCCTTAGTTGGGGTTTGACCTTCGTTTTCCACGACCATATTCATATTGTACCCATTCCTGTCACATATACGAGTACTCGTATACCCTCAACATTTGCATTTGCTGATCTCCACGTTGATAAATTTGCATTCAAGTTTTCTAGTGGCAGGGCTTCCCTACTATCGTTTCGGATGTCACTCGTTGCCTCATCTATACAGTGCGTACTTAATTGTCACTCCCCCTCTCAACTTTCGAACGGGGCAACATATCAGAGTCGGACAAAATTTTTACTTTTTGATAAAAAAAGCAATAGGGAAGCATCTCTTGCAGCCAAAAGGACGCTACATATTTAATTTCAAATACATTCGTGTTAGGAATCACACGTTAAAAGGTAAGACCTCGTTAATCCTTAGCTCGCACAAGTTTAGACTTCTGAGGGTTGTCGTTCATAGGGGTGCGACAGCTGGTTGACGGAAAAACAGATTTTTTTTTTAAACAGATTCGAGGATCTTGTGACATTTACTTTTTCGAATTTACATATCCTGTTGCCATTGATTTTTTAATTTGGGACAAGGAATTCCGTAATTCCGCCAGACTTTTTTCAACATTTGTTTATTAGAAAGACACATGTATCAAAAACGTCATTTGCAATAAATATAATGTAAAGCGATTTTCGGCCAATTTTCCTCTACAAATTCGAACTGAACCAAACCGTTGCAGAAAAATTACCAAGGTATTGGGCAATGATATTGTTGAGTAACTCATTGACGTTGACTTGCAAAGTTTCGTTCCGGAGATTTCAGCCTCGAAGATGAGCCTTCAAGTGGTCGACCTACAGTGATGCAGGAAGAGGATTTGAGGATCCTGGTGGATGGTATAAAATGTATTGGAAAGGCCAAACATTTCGAAAAGCGGATGCCTCTCGATTTGAATGAACGACAAAAATTGTTACGTTTCGAAGTATTTTCTTCTTTGCGATTCTTTTTGGGTTGGATAGTAACGCGTGATGAGAAGTGGATCCTTAACGATAACAGAAGACGTTCAGGACAGTGGTTGGACACTGATGAGCCACCCAGGCACTTCTCGAAGGCAAAAACCCACCAGAAAAAGGCCATGGTTACTGTATGGTGGTCAGCGGCTATTTCCTCACCCTGCCACTCAACATTGAGAAAGTGAAGACTGTCAGAGGAGCGCTCGTGCTACTCGTCTCCAAGAACAGTTCAGAGGTACAAACTTTGTCGAAAACAAACGAGAAGGTCGAGGCGTAGGAGCAAATTATGTTCTGCAAACTTCTCGTCATCCTCATTTTGCATCTGAAGTTATTTAAATACGGCCACGACCGTTGCACGAACATTATCAATGCTTTGGATTCTGATTACGACTTGAAGATTGGTTCGGTATTGGTATCGTTGGAAACACAGTCTTCAACAGAGAAGCACTACGCGACCGATGCTTTCCACGTCGGCTACAAATGCTGGATGAGGTACGACGATTCTTCGGTCAGGACCGTGCAGGAAGAATACGTACTGAAACCCCAGGAACGCGAGTTCCTTATTTGCTGTTCTACAGGAGAAGCGATATGATGAGCCTCATCCCTAGGGGGATGAGGCTGCTGCTTTTGCGTTCAGCTTCTGGAATCTAACGAACTTTCTCTTTTGAGTTTTTATCGAATTTGATTTTTTGTTGGTTTTAATCAATTGTTTATTCTTTCATTTCGTTGTGATGTGAAAAGTGTACTGTGTTATTCAATTCATTCATTGAATACCTATTATATGTTCCGGACAAGAAAATTATATCATATTAGACAATGGAAGTCCGAACCAATGGAATGCACCACGACACATTGTCAACCCCCTTCGAACAAAGAATTGATCAAGTATTCACTGATATATCACAGTTGAAGTGGGCTTACAAGTACGAACAAAACTTTTGAGACAAACTTATAGTTTGATATATCGGGATGATGATGTTGAAATAGTATATCGTATGTTAATATTTCTGAGGAAATATTGAGAGCAAATAGTTGTTGGTTCACATATGGATCAAAAACACCTTCCGGTTCTGGTGCAGGTGTTTTCAGTCGCAGAACCAGGACAGAGATATTTACCTGCCTAGGAACCTATTCAAGCGAAAATTTACGCTATTGTGTGCAGAGATATTGGAGGAATCCAACCTCATATACAAGTCAATAAAATATTATCGGATAGTCATGCGGCGTTGGGAGCTCTTGGCTCCTACCGAGCTACGTCTAAATTGGTAGCAAACTGCCAAAAATTATTCTCTTCGATAGAAAGACTCAACAGATTGTCTCTGGACTGAATTCCTGGTCATACTGGCCTGGAAGGTGATAAGGCTGCTTGCTCCCTTGCAAAGGAGGGTGCTGCAAGCAGCTTCATCGGACCAGAACGTCGCTTTGGGCTTTTCCAAATAAACATTGAACACCTGGATGGCAAGAAGATTTATGGACTTTTTGCAGAATCTTCCAGGATTGGCTCACTCCAAGGCGTTTATTCACCCTTCGAAGCTTGATACCAAACAGTTGTTGGATTACAGTAGGGATGAACTACGATGTCTATTAGGCCTTCTTACAGGTCACTGCCATTTGAATCATCAAATGCAGAGACTAGAACTATCGGAAGACAGTGCGTATCGCCTTTGTTCGAAAAATGATGAAACAGCAAAGCATATATTTTGTGCCTGCCCCGCTGGGGACCGAATCACGTTTTTAGAGTTCGGCAGAGCCGTACTCTCATCATCTTACCTGAAAGACCACTCACCATACAAACTAATCAGTTTCGTTGAGAAGCTGGGTTTATTTGGTCGAGTGTGAATAGGTGTGACTCACAATAAATCCTTGAGGGTTACGGCGGAGGGTCTGGGCGTAACCTAACCTAACCTAATATTTCATGATTTTATAATTTTTTCAAATAGAACAAAACACGAATTGGAAATTGAAAAGGTGGGCTGATTGTTGAAAAATCATGAAGTTGAAAGCTGAACTGTCAGTTCTTTTTCTACGGTAAAAATAAAATATCAAAAATGAAATGGAAATCTGAAACTTTCGCAAGAAAAGACAAGCATTGACGGATGTTTACCTATTTCAAAATGATGAATCGAAATCACAGCAATTCAAACCGTTTTTCTCGAACAAAAATGCATTACATCGAAAACAAAGCGGAAAATTGTTTTGAACGAGCACAATTAGCCATGAAAGGAGACAACAGGTTTCCCAT